TTACTACTAGATAAAATGTCATTGCCAGTCACTCAGTTAAAGGTCTACTAAAGAGAAATAAATAACAAAAACCTTTTCCAAAGATCCAAGCTCTTCACATTGCTGAAAAGCTTCTTATCTCTCCTGGATATGCACAGACTACCGCTCCATTTATCAGAACACTTGATTTGTACAAACGTTTCTTCCAACACTGACTTCAAACCAGCAATAATGGTTACATCAGTCAGTGTTGTTATTAACAGCAGACCTTCAAAATATTAAGATAGTTTTAGAAATACCTGATTTTCTTATCTTTTTATTTATTTGTTTGTTTTTGAGCTTTTAGAAATCTTATCTGTATGTCAAAATATTTATTTGCATCACTGCCAGTAAGTAAGAATTTAAACTAAGGACCAGGTGCTACAGAAACACAGAACAATAAGGATGCCTCTGGAGATCTCAGTAGCTAAAATTAGCCAATCAAAGGCAATTGATTGAATATAAGGAAATACTGGATCACTATTGGTCTGTATTACAGTCTTTGATCTTCACACACTGTTACCCAAATGTTTCTTAAGGCATTTTAAGTAGGGTTTTCAGGAAGGATTATGAGATAGATTGGAATGTTTAAGGGGGAATTATTACAGGAATGAGGGGCAGCGTAACAGAAGGTGCACAAGACCTCATGTCCTTGAAATTTTACGGTTTGGAGCTGGAGGTTAACATCATGGATGAGAGGCAGAATGAATGTCTTCTTAATGAGAGGACATGCTAAAGTATTTGTGAGAATAGCAGGGAGAGAACATGATGATCTGGTTAGCATATTCCATGATCCCTCAAGCAGCTGCCTAGGATAGGACTGAAAATGTGGTAAGGCTTTTTTTTCCCCCACAGCAGTCATATCATTACTGCCCTTCACTAACCAGCTCAATAACAGATTGTTTCATAGTATTTGCTCTATCTTTCTTTGATATCAATGTGTTTTTTTTCACAGAATTTCTTTCTTTGATAGCTTCAGATAATTTGAGGAAATATTTTTTCTTGGCCTTCTGTGTGTGTACTCAGTATTTACAAGGACTCTGAGGTGTATTTGTTAATTCTATTAAAGGTGATTTGAGGGAACACAACAAGAAGGTGGTTCATAGAAAATCTTATGAGCCTCATCGCTTATCTTTGAACTTTAAAAATAAGCATGCAAATAAATCTAGTCTGCCAGCTGCTAATTACTGGGTGACAGTTTTCAGGCAGGTAGTTGTTAAACTCAAAAAATTTACGTAATACATATAACTCACAGCAGATAAGTAAAGCACTGTGTGGTGAGCCTTGTTAGTGGATCCTGATGTTTTGTTCCAAA